CAAATCCTCAATCACCAACTTAAATGTGTCAAAAAGGTGCACATAATTAAGATAAAACTCAAAACTGAAAGATGATATACATTCCCTTGGTCTCCCCCAACCCACCATGGTTTTGAACAAGTTGAATGTAGCTGCTGGAGCAAATCCCCGCAGAGGATGAAATTTCTTGAATGAAAATAAAAATTTTTAAGCTACAGTCAAAAAATTAAGAGAATAAAGTTAAAATGCAACATATTATTGAAGCTATCATTTTTTTCTTTTTAGGCAAATTTACATACATACTGCACAATTCTTATGCATTTTCTAACACCTAAAGTTTGATATGTACATTTATAACACCTTGATGGTTAAAAATATATGCATGAAAATGTGTATTTCACTTTTAAAAGATTAGTGATAGTGCTATTATTGATGTGATGTCAAAGATTTGAGTGTTATGTACGTAAATATGGAAGGTTTGGGGGTATATATGTAAATAAAAAAACATTGGTGTGTATATAAATGCCCACCTTTTATTTAACTCACACACACATGTAGAAGTACTAAGCCTTTGACAAGGCCTTGCTGCCAGAGAAGCACAAAATTATACCATCTGAGCATGCTATCGTATAACAAACACAAGCACAGAACATGAATAGTAATGTGCTCGGGATCCACCAGCTTTCAGGATATAAACCAAAGGACAAGGGCATAAAGCGAAAAATTTATTGTAATGAGCCCCCATTTGGTGGCTTGCATGTGTTTTGCATGACTTGTATAAAAGTAGATTTGGTGATTTTTGGGTTTTTATGTCATTTGTCATGAGCCTAATTTTAGGTCATTTTGATCATGAGACTTTTACCCTAAGTTTGATTAATTTTCAATGTGATGAGTGGGCTCAAATTTATGTCATAAAGTCTTTTACTTAATTTAAATTTGAATTTGACTTAAATTTGGGGAGTTTTGGGCTTTTGAGTTCATCATGGTAAATTTTGAAATTAATTTAGGGCCTTGGATTTTGGTTTGCATGAATTTTTAAAAATTTGATTTTAATTTTAATTTAATGGTGAAATGTATGTAAGTGTGAATGTGTGTGAATGGTGTGAATTGTGAAGTGAGTGAACCCCTAAGTTCAAAGAGTTTCCTTAGGGATTCTTTAATCTTCTACTTGAGTTTTAACATGTTGATCTCAATCGACTCAACTAAGTGTCAAGGATTTGAAACCATACATATGACATTACAATGAGTCAAGAGGTGGTTTAAATTTCTAATTGGTATGAGTCCCAACACAACTCCTCAAGGAGAGTCAATATGAAGGTCCCATGGCTAGACCAAAAGCTCTAGAAAGGGAAACAGACCTCACCAAAAAATGAGGTCAACAACTCATTCTACTTTTATTAGAGCAGTCTTCTCTCTTTTTCTTTTGTTCTACATTCTATTCCTTGGGAGTGATTCATTGGACACTCTTGAATTCAACAATACCAAATAATTTGATGGAGACAATTAATTGTTGAATGAATATTTTACAATTAAAGGAAATAAAATGGATCTTCCAATGGAATGTTTTAAGATTTTGGCGTAGCCCTCATTGTCACATTTTACTATTTTTTCATAATCTTTATGGACACGAGAGACCAAATAAGTTTTTCCACTTTTTTATCATATTTTTTCCAACTACAAGGAAGGGGAGACTTCTGGAACACCATGCATATAATGGATTATTTCAATTGAATTTAGCCTCTTTTTTTTAAATTTTCAAGTAAATTTGTTAATGTCTCTTTTGAAATTCCTCGCATACATGTTTGCTAGATCTTTGCATAAAATTAACAGATTAACATCTCTCTACTGTCATAATATTCTATCACACAACAAAACTCATTAAAATTTTCTCAACTTCTATCATTCTAATATAACCTCTCCCTAGGGGGTCCTCCCACGTCTTCTAACATTCTATCACAACATGTACACTATAGATTCATGATGTATTCCAACACCTTTTTTCAATCCTTCAATAAACACACAACCCCACTTCTGTCCCTTTTTGTCGTAACATACAAAGTCCAAAAAGATATTAACCATCAAAATATTATCTTTAACTGTCAATCCTTAAAACACAAAAACCTGATCATAGAGGGCAAACCAAACCACCTTCTCCATAAGTTTTCACCTTTTTCAATAGGTGTATTTGCATACATACCACGCAATTCGTATGCATTTACATATATAATACCAAAACTTTACTTTTTTTTTTACATTTATACCACCCAAATTATTCATATCACATCATAAAATTCACCATTTTAACTTTAAAATGGTGAAATACACATTTTCATGCATAAGGTGCTATGTACTTAAAAATAATGCCAATATGAGTTGTAGGTAAGAACCACATTTTGGGGTGCCTTGTAGATAAATGCCTCTAGATTTTAATGTCATTGTAATCATCTTTATGGAGTAAATTCATACATCCAAACAAATATGTTAATATATTCAAATTTCAGAAGAGGAAATCATCAATATTTTAACTTTAATGAAATATAAGACTCCTATATCTAATCCAAAATCACAAATCATATTTCAACTACAATTGAAAAAATTCAAAATTAACGGCAAAACAATCATTTTATAATTTAATTACAAACACGAACAACTCTTAAAAACAATAAAGACGGACATTCGGAAGGTGTGCGATCTCGTGCCAATCAGAGCCTGAAACTTTTTTATAACGCTTCAACTCTGGATGACAATTTTCTACTATTATTGATTTCAAGGAGGAAGGGAGGTGTGGCAATGATTTGAGGAGTGGAATGCTGTCTAAATTTAGACGTTTGAGGGATGAGATGGCCGACAAAGAAGATGGCAGGCACACTAGGTTATTAAGCCTACATAGAGACAGTGAATTCAAGGCGGGAGGGAGTTCTGGCAATGATTTGAGGAGTGGAATGCTATTAACTTCTAGACGGTTAAGGGATGAGATGGCCAACAAAGAAGATGGCAGGCACTGTAGGTTATCAAGCCTACATAGAGACAGTGAATTCAAAGAGGGAGTGAGTTCTGGCAATGATTCGAGGAGTGGAATGCGATTCAAATCTAGTTTCTTGAGGGATGAGATGGCCGACAAAGAAGATGGCAGGCAGTGTAGGTTATCGAGGTCATGTAGACACAGTGACTTCAAGGAGGAAGGGAGGTCTGGCAATGATTTGAGGAGTGGAATGCTATCTAAATCTAGAAGCACGAGGGATGAGATGGCCGACAAAGAAGATGGCAGGCACTGTAGGTTATCCAGACTACCTAGAGACAGTGAACACAAGGAGGAAGGGAGGTCTGGCAATGATTTGAGGAGTGGAATGCTATCTAACCGTAGTTCCTTGAGTGATGAGATGGCCGACAAAGACGTTGGCAGGCACTGCAATGATTCCAGGTCTTCAAGATGTATTTCTTCCAGGGAGGCGGGGATGTGTAGAAGCTGCTGGAGTTGAGGAACTCTTCCTACACGTAGAATCTTAAGTGAAGCGAGGCGTTCCATGGAGGGAAGGAGAAACTGCAGGGATTCGAGGCCTCTAAAGGTCAACTCACGAAGGGATTTCTCAATGCCACTCTCCACTTGTAGCAGTCCACCGAGAGAAATCAGATTGGGGCAACCTCCAATTCTCAATTTTCTCAGTGCTTCAAGTCTTGCATCCGCTTGAAGAAGATACGTGATGTTTGAACACGAAAGGACCTCTAAACATTCCAGGGGAATGGACTTTGAAATGCCGCAACAGTTGTTGGAGCCTTGCTTGCAGTTCAAAGGAGCTTTCCATCCAACTCTTTCTATATGCATGTTCTTGAGCTTAGGAGGCAAATAGGGCAACTCCTGCAGATTTGGGCAGTTATCGAGGAAGAGTTCAGTTAAGCAGGGAAAGAAACAGTCATATGCTGCTGCTCCTGCTCCTGCTCCTGCTCCATCAAACCAATCTTCCAATACCTGTAATCCCTTCATACTTAGCACCTCCAATGATGGAAACACAGAAACCTTGTCATTTCCATGGAATTTATAATCAAGCCGCTTTGCTTTTGGCATGTTCCAAAGATACAGTGACTTGAGGTGGGGAAGCTGCCCAAAAGATGGAAGAGTTTCCCACTCCGAACACATGTCCAGACGGATGTACTCTAGATTGGAGATCAAATCGGCATTGTCCATCCATTTCGCAGAGCTTGCACCCTTATATGAAACTATGGACAATCTTTTCAAATTTTTGTCTGGTTCAAGATTTTCAAGCACATTCACATCTAAGTCAGAATTGACAATGTTCCGTAGGCTTCCAACT